ACGATGGATTTCATCACCAAGCTTCCCAGGACCGCGCGGGGAATGGATTCGATATGGGTCATCGTCGATCGATTGACCAAGAGCGCCCACTTTATCCCGATTCAGGAGAGCATCTCGGCCGAGAAATTGGCCGATATCTACATCAGAGAGGTGGTGGCACGGCACGGGGTGCCAGTTTCAGTGATTTCGGATAGGGATGTGCGGTTCACTTCCAAGTTCTGGAAGAAGTTTCATGACGAGCTGGGTACTCGTCTGCATTTTAGTACAGCCTTTCACCCGCAGACGGACGGCCAGAGCGAGCGGACCATCCAGACTCTGGAGGACATGTTGCGGGCATGTGTTTTAGACTTCGGTGGTAGCTGGGATACCTATCTTCCTTTAGCCGAGTTTTCATACAATAACAGCTATCACGCGAGTACTGACTGTCCTCCCTTCGAGATGTTGTACGGGAGGAAGTGCAGGACCCCGATATGTTGGGGCGAGGTTGGACAGAGAGTCATGGGGAGCACCGAAGTAGTGCTCAAGACGACAGAGAAGATTTAGCAGGTCTGGAGCAGGCTTCAGACTGCTCAGAGTCGGCAGAACTCTTCCTTGGCCAGGATGGGGTAGAATAACAGAGCATGTACAAGTATTAGTAGCATAACAAAAATGTGTTCCTCGTTATTAAAATGTTTGCTCGCGGCAATTGTAGCTTCTTGGGGGGCATCAATGACTGCATCTTTGATGCATTACTAGCACTAGTACATCTGAGATTTATTAACCGGATGGTTATAAGTAGTTCCATGGCTATGGAACAAAAGAGTATCCCGTGCCTACACCAAGGCATTGACGGTGGTTTTCAGATCTCCTCAAGTAGGATTCGAACCTACGACCAATCGGTTAACAGTCGACCGCTCTACCACTGAGCTATTGAGGAACAATTGGAGATTCGATCTCATAGAGTTTCATTCCCGTTCTCCACACATGACCAATATGTAACACCGGGTTCATGGTATGATTTTATTTAAGTTTCTATCTTAATTTTGCCACGAACTCGGCGAGTCTGCGTCCCGACTCGCCGAGTAGCAGCAGGGTGGACACGGGATTTGAGCGGTGAACTCGGCGAGTCGATGCATGGACTCAGCGAGTCCACCTGTCTGGATGAAACTCTATTTTCAGACATTGCACCCTATTGTACCCATTCTAAAAACACCCATTTCGTCCCATTCTCTTCCAGAATAACTGGAGAGCGAGACCCTAGCCCATTTTGATCCTTGTGAGTGATTTTGGCTTGGTAAAGGAAGTTTGAAGCTTAAGAGAAGATGGAGGAAGTTGGAGGGCGCAAGGAAGTGTGGTAGATCCGAAATCTACCCTGGGAGAAGCTCCTAACCAGCCGGAGGGATTACCGGTGCGGCAGCCAGGCGTAGTCTGAGCAGGTTTTCGGCAGCTACTCTCGAGGTGAGTTTCCTTCCAGTAGGGACGGGTCTAAGGCACCAAGGCCGGCCCGTATAGACGATATGTTAGTATCGGAGTGTGGGCGGAGCCCGTATCTCATAGATGAGTTCGATTGTGATATATGCCAGTATGATAGAATTGCTTATACTTGTTGTCTGTGTGATACTTGTATGTTATGGTTTGGTAGCGGAGTGTGGGCGAGGCCCGTATCTCCATGGATAGCAGAGTGTGGGCGAGGCCCGTATCTCTATGGGTGTGGGCGAGGCCCGTATCTCTTAGATGTTCATTATATGATTGCATGGTATGTGTCATTATGGGGGAACTCACTAAGCTTCGTGCTTACGTTTTATAGTTTTGTTTTCAGGTACCTCTTCAGCTAGGGGACAGGAGCCGGCGCGGTAGCGGCATATCACACACTCTCATGTTTTCCGCACTATGGATTTTCTGGGATGTACTCTGAATATTTACTATGATGTTACCGGTTCTCAGACATAAATTAATATTATGAATGTTTGTAACGATGTTTTTATGCATTAACCTAATTTAAAAATGAAATTTTTAGCTGGTATTTTTGGGATGTTACACAATATGAGCTCGAAGCTTCCTTCATAACTCCCAAAACTTCTTCATAGTGGCTCCTTTCCATGACTCATTTCATAAGGAATCTCAAAGTGGCTCTATTTCATTATATTGCATCCATATCCCAATTTCATTCATTTAATATACTTTTAGTGTCATTAACATAGCCGATGTCATTTCTAGTCTATCTCTTTCTATTTCTATATATGGAAAGTTTCAAAATCATCATATAATAATCCAAAAATTGCAATAGGAAATAAAAATGGCGGTTTGTGATGATTTTGAAATCTTTTCTACTAGGTAATGTAATATCCTTATTTGTTACTAAAAGAAATATTGGTCAGGTCGCAAATTAGTAACGACCGTACACACCATCCCGGTATCATGAGAGGGCACTGCCAATAAGAAAAGCTGGGAACTTTAAAAAAATTGACTTTGTTTTTTACTAGCCGTTTGAACATAATATACTTAAAGAAATTACAATTCATTAAACATTAATTATTCTAGATTTCCTATAAATACTAACAATTTCACTACATTTTTTTTCATATCATTTCTTTCATCCTCTACTACACAACACCATACATTCACAAAGAATTTCCAAACCCTACAACCTTGGTAGGAAAAAGAAAAAACCATTTTAGCTCGTGCTTGGATTTCGGTGTCCAAAAACCCCTTCAAACGAAGAGATCATACCTTTTGGGAATCTATTCTAAATTACATTCACTACGGAATGGGGAAATGTATTTATCGACATCTCCATGGGCTTTTGTCAAAAAGTCATGATATGAGGTTAAAAATAATTGAACTCAAAGACAGCTACAATCACCTCGAAAACAGACATCCAAATAGGAGTAACGACTCTGTGGTGCTTGATGCGGCCCTCAAACAATACCAAGATTCTCAAAGTAACCATAAACCTTTTTCGAGTATCTCAAGGCTCGATATAAATTGTATAATTCTTCAAAATCATTTTTTACATCGGGAAGAAGAGGGGGGGGGGGGGGGGGGGGGGGGGATCCAAATCCTAAAGATGAAAATGAAATTGATGATTTTTTTTTTTTGTTTAAATGAATGTAAGCTTTTTCCCTGGTATGTAATTTTCTTTTTTCCTAGTATGTAAAATTATTTAAATTAATGCAATGTTTTTTTATTAAGTATAATGTTTTTATGTGCTTCATTTTATTATTTTATTTACTGAAAAAATAACATAAAATTAAATTGATGACATGGAATGGTATGTATATCAAAATGATGTAGTGTTGGTATGGTAATAAGGTGACAGTTTTATATGACCGGCATAGCCCACGGACTAATATGAATAGATAAATTTTGAACAAAATATGTAACTGAATAATGGGTCCACATAATTGCTTAGCTACATGTTAGACTTCATGTATTGAAAGGGTTAGAGTGATGTGTCAATTGTATAGTTTGAAATGCATTTGAAAGTCCCGCTGTCGTGGGTGCTCTAAAAAGATTAAGAAGGATTCAAACTATGGTAAATATAGTGATGAGGCATAGAGTATAACCACCTAAACTACAACACATCTGTTGGTTTCTTTTACACTTATTACATATTATTAACACACTAGGGGGTGTTTGGCTTAGCTTTTGAGAGAGCAAAAGTTATTTTAGGAAAAAATCAAAAGTAAAAGATGTTTGGGAAAAGACTTTTAAAAGCTACTTTTGGATTTTGGATAAAAGGAAAATCAACTTTTTGGAAAAGTCAGGACTTTTGACCCTCTAAAAAGCTAAGTCAAACACCCCTAGGTAAACATGTTAAAATGTCCCTATGTTTTGGTGGCCCTATTCGACCACAGAGTTTGAACTCCCTTTGCCTTCGCCCTACAGTTTACACCCACATGGAATGAATATGTATTTGCTTTTAGACCCGTTTTGATGAGTCAACAACTGAAACGGGTACCCATATTTCTGCAATTGTAATACGAATAAGAGATTGTGGTTTAAGGTCAAACACTAGTGGGAAATTGCAGTTTGCTTCCTTCGTTTGGTTACTTTCATTGGATGGCCAAATTCGATCAGATTTACAGGTTTGTGCAAAAATGGTTTGACATATTTGGTTTTTATGGATGCACCAAAATGACAACCTTTTTTTTGGAAAAACAAAAGCTTATAATTAAAAAAAAAAAAAAAAAAAAAAAGGCTAGCTTTATGCTAGCATAAGGAACATTACAAAATTACAATCCCGTTATGAACCCATACAGTTCAACAGTAAATGGCCTTAACATTTCTATAATTAAACCAATTAAAGGCAAACGATAACATTACGAACGTAGAAATTAAATTGTCTCCTACTTTTTATACCTACAAATATTCCTACTCACTAATATTATGACATGTGTCATTATTTCACCAATCAATTTAATTTGATTTGATATATTTCTAATATACTCTTAATGAGATAGTTAAAAAAATATGGAATTGTGACACTTGTAATAATATTAATGGGTAGGAATACTTGTAGGCATAAAAGATAGGAAGCAATTTAATTTCACGAACGAAAATAATAGTCTTTCGATAAGACTCTTATAAGACCACAAAACCCAAACAATTGTTATAAAAACCACAAAACCCAAAATGACTACCTTTAAGGAGAGTCGTATGTGTGATTGTGATTGGATTAACATAACTTCTACGAAGCATATTTTGCGATGTGAATAATTATTGGGTTACTTGAATTTTCTAAGTGACAATAATCGGGATCTATGATCTGTTTATGTGCGGGCAAATAGGATAATTCTTAGAAAAGCTTAATTAATACAATTTCTCCAACATTAATGAGGATTCGTGGGTACTGTTTGATAAACCCAATAACTTTTAATAGATATTTCTGTATATTTTAAGTGGCTCTTATTTAAACATGCAATCGATTGTACATGCATTAATCAAACTCAAACTAACTCACAAAATAACTGATCATTTCATACAACAAATTTACATTTTTTATGTTCCATGTAAAGAGGCTATACGTTATATGAATAATTTAAACTAATGAGCTCACAATGAGCCAAATCAAATGGATTTTCACTATAATCAATAGTTTCAAGTATCTGGTCCATCTCAAAAATTGGTGAATATACCTCTTTTGAGATCACATCTCCATGTACTAGCCTTGTCGGCATTAGAGAAGGTGCTGATTGAGGGGTACTTAGGAAAGTATTGCAAGTGTGGTGTCGGTTGTAAGTTATCTTATACTTTGTAGGCTCATGTTCGGTCTGCTGAACTTGTTTGGTTGCTTGACATCCTTGGTCAAATTTGTGTGTACACCTATAATAGTTTCTACATACACCAAGAAGCACGTAGAAATGAGTTCTTGTAATAAATTTAATTGGCAAAAGATTAATCTTTTACTTATGTGTGGTTCAAGAAACATAAAAGAAATTTATCATGGATAGTTTTATTCTATGTAGAAAAAACCACCCACAGTTAAAATATAATAATCAAATCTTCTTGTATTCAATTAACTTAATCAGTATAATAGTATTTTGTTGAGATCTATATATTTGACTTTATAACGGATTAGCTATGCATACACTTCGAAGAAAAAAGATACAACGTTTTCTAAACCCCAATTGTAAAAGAAATTTATTATCAATAGTTTTGTCATATATACAAATACGTCTCCATTGTAATATACTCCCTCCGTTTCATATTAATAGTTCATGTTTCCTTTTTGGTTTGTTCCAAAATAATAGTCTACTTCTAAAAATAAATATGTCTTTTACCATAATACCCCTCATTATTATTAAATTACCATAAAATTAATTGCAACTACCATAAAATTAAATGCAACAAAAGGGTAAGACTGTCATTTAATTTAATAAAATAAAGTTAATGATAATTAATATTTCCTTAATCTGTGTGTGTTTTGTTTGTGGACAATTATTTTGGGACGGAAAGAGTAATAAATAAAGTCTTCTTGGTTTCAATTAACTTAATCAGTATGATAGTATTTTGTTGAGACGCGTATATTTAACTTTAGACGAATTAGCTATCTATGTTCTTCGTAAAAAAAGATGCAATGTTTTCAAAAACCCCAGTTATAAAAGAAATTTATTACCAATAGTTTAGTTATATAAATGTATACGCCCTAGTTGTAATATATTAAATACAATCTTGTTGACATGTATATATTTGACTTTAAACAAATTATGTATGTATTTTCCTTCAAAAAAAGATGCACTGTTTTCTTTACCCCAATTGTAAAAGAAAATTATTATCAATAGTTTTGTTATAAATACAAATACATGCACCCTAGTTGTAATATAATAATTAAATTAACTTTGTTGTTATCGGTTAACTTAATCAGTATAATATATAGTATTTTATTGAGATGTAAATATTTGAATTCTAGTGAGTTATCTATAGCTCTTCAAATAAAGATGTGCAATGTCTTCTTCCGATTTATTGATTTAAAGTTTTGTACTTCGAAAAAACCAAAAAATAAAATAAAATAAAATAAAATAATATAATAAAATAAAAAATCGAACCTTTTGTGTTTTGCATTGATGATCTCCTTTTGACCATATTTTCTCCATACATGTCCATCATCAATCAAAGAAGTTACTTTTGTGGATGTCCATGAGCGCTTTCTACATATGGCCAAACAACAATGAATATATTAGTATTGATACATGTATGCTAACTACAAAATTAATTGGAAGGTATGCTTGACAACTTGTCACTTTTATATACTCCAACTTGCAAAATATAAATTATTAAAATGTAAACATGAGAATAAAGAAAGCAAACGTATCATATTCAACACCATTTTTAGACATCATGGTTAACCATTAAACATACCTGATATAGCAGCCTCTACTATTTTTCACTGTTTTAACCATCTTGTCCGTGGCTATTGATCTCCGGCCATCCAAACAATTAGAAGAACTTATATTATTTATCGGGATCTTAGAGACCTTGTTGACGCTGTAACTACTCATGAATGAAAGGGTGTTGCCGAACATATCCAAGGCTTGATCTTCTACACAATAGGAGTTTTCCGGCGACTGTATCAGCTCTTGAATGGCTTTGCTCCGGCAGCATGGTGAACCCTCCGGCCAAGAGCGAGAATCCATACGATTTTTTGTATTCTGATGTAGTTGCGAGAAGTAGACCCTATAACAGCACATCTTTCGATATTTATCTACGGGAAAATGGGGATTTTATAATCTCTATGAAAAAAAACTATAAGATAAAGACATGAAAAGGTGTAAAGTGTAAACAACTCTTGAAGCTTCTTAGAACGGGAATCTGACAATCACGCACCGGATTGTCCTCCTATTGGTCGTGAGAGGCCAGTACACGCGCTAAAGGGTGAGTCGTGTGAAAGAAAAATATGACGTTTATACTATGACGTAGTAATATGATGTCAAATATTCAATATATATATATATATATATATATATATATATATATATATATATATATATATATATATAGAGTTGTGATGAATCGAGAACATTTTTTAGAACATTTGAAAACAAATTTGAAAAATTAGTTTTAAATGAAAATTTAGAAGAGTTGTGTTCACAGACGATGATATTACTTTCTCTCTCTATCATTCACTTTTTTTTATCCTCTCCCACTCTCTATATCTCTTTTATATCTTGAACTATATTTGTATCATCATCAGGATCACCGGACCGCTTCCGGAACCACCGTAGCTCTGCCAGAACCTCTGTAATATCATCGGACGGCCGCCTCTTCACACTCTTCGGATCTGCTCGTTTGCCACTTCCCTCCGCCCCCACCGTTGGAAGCCACCACCTCCGTCTCCGCCTCTCCTCTTCCTAAACCGTCACTAGACCACTGCCGGAACGACTAAACCACCGTCGGAACACTGTGTCTCCACTCTCTATGGATCTGCTTGCACCTCTTTGTTTTGCCTCCACTCGTTCCTGATCTATTCTAGTTTCCAGATCTCATTTCTCGGATCACCTCCGGCTATCACCGGAGCGCCACCACATCGAGTTTTCGTGATTCTCTGTCCCGAACGACCACATATCGTCTCTTCTCTTCCTGAACTAGATCCATCTGCCTCTCATCTTTCTCCACCGGAAATGCACCTCCACGGAAATCACATCCTTCTCGTTTTCTTTTCAATTTCGTTTACATCACCAGGTCTAGTTTCATCGATTACAGATCTGAAGTAGAAGGCAACCAAATCTAATTCTCGATCTGGTTTAGTTGATTGTTCATTTATCGTCAAAACAAATGTATAATCGATCGATTCTTTGTGATAACTGGTTCAATAGTTGGCTGATGAAGGTAGTCTGACGATGGAGTTCCGATTATTATGTTGGCTCGTTGAAGATGACGACAGGTCACCTAAAAAATGTTGTTTCAACTTTAAATCTCAAAGATGGAGAAAGTAATACATAAAAGCTTGATGGTACCAAACGACTTCTAGCCCAGCGGTATCCGGTGTTGCCCTCCCTCCTTGAGGTAGAGGGTTCAAGTCCCGTCGTGGACATATGTGGATTTAAGATGTAGTTTAGGAATAGATTAGATTTGCCGTTTAAAAAAAAAAAAAAAAAGCTTGATGGTGACGGTGCACTGAGATGTGTAAGGAAAGTTTAATTTTTCTGAGACTAAACTGCACAAATGATCCCTGTGATATGTCGAAAATTGCCACTTTGGTCCAAAAAGGTTTGGACTAGCACCAGAGGTCCAAAGTTTTCATTTTGTTGCGAGTTTGGTCCAATTGTGTTAAACTTTTCATAATGACGATTTTGCCCTTATTTTTTCTTTTTTCATTTTTTTTATTTCATTAAATACTTTTCTAATTAAAAAAATAATTTTTTTATAACAGGAAAAATCACTCTCTTTCTTCTTCTCTCTCTCCCCCCCCCCCCCCCTTTCTCTCTCTCTCTCTCTCTCTCCACATCCCAAGAACACATACCACCATCATACTCTTCTTCAATTTCAGATCTTGATGTCACATCCTTTATTTCCCGTATCTTTTTATTATCTCTACAAACTTAATGCAACTAATTTCTCTCAGGATCTCTCGTGCTCATCCCTTCTGTTTGCGATCAACACATTAAATGTGTGTGTGTCACTGCTTCCCATTCGAACAAACCTACACACATGAGGATTTTTGTGCGCCATTGATTAAATCATACATACATGTTGCTGTTCGAAGTCGATATGAAGGTGAGAGGAAAGGGGCGAAGTCAATTTAGCACTTGATCTGTCATCGAACGACCACAGGATCCGTCATCCTCTTTCTCCCGCCGTCCTTCTTGTTTTCAGCTTGCAAACCCTCATTTCAGATCTGGAACAACATCGTCTTCGTCCATGGCTCGTTCTTCCCCTATAGTTGGTGTTCCCAAAAACGAAAACGAACCAGTAAACGTAGATCCAGAGCTCCGGACGGGGGTGATGTTGGAGAGCCGTGTAGAGGCAATGGAGGTGAGATAGCCGACGACCACGAATTCTAGTAACAAGAGCAGAAATAGAGTTTTCTTGTTTAGCAAACCCGCCTCCAGATCTGAACCATTTTTGTTTTAGACCCAAACCACAACAAGAAACCAGATACTTTTTGTTGTTTTCTAAAGATACCAATCCATCTAAAACCCTAAATCCATAGACCTAAGGGCTAAGGAAAAGAGATCAAATTATTTCAAGTTGCAGAGATGGACATTAGGGTTTACAGGAATATATGCAAGCTTGACGAACATCTTAATGGGAAGTGCTTGTGTGTTTGTTGGGTCTTAATTCTGACCTGCAAGTTTCCTTCACAAAATTAAGAGAGAGATTTTATTTTTGTTTTATTTTTAATTGTTTTATACAATGTTGTAATATAAGAAAAATAAAAAAATAAATAATAAAGGGCAAATCCGTCATTATAGAAAGTTTCAAAATTTTTGGACCAAACTCGCAACAAAATGAAAACTTTGAACCTCTGGTGCTAGTCTAAACATTTTTGGACCAAATTGACAATTTTCGACATAACACAGGGACCATTTGTGCAGTTTAGTCTTTTTCTGATGATAAAAAGTCTTATATGACGTGTCAAAGCACCAATCGTTAAGGTATATATATTTAAATATTTAATATCTCAATTTGTCGTTCCTTGTTTATAAAGTTGATAAATGCTTATTAATTTTGTATTTCTTGAAAGTGGAAAAAGACAAACAAATACATATATATGCCATAAAGACTAATAGTAAGTTATTAGTATGTTTGGTTAATTAAATATCTATGGTACGGTTATTTTTAAAGAAATATTATTAGTTTTAATTTTATTATTTGTTAGTAGAGGAATTCTATGATAAATTGTAATTGGACTAATAATATTAAAAATTGATAAAATCTAATTAATTGTTGTATAAAAGAATCGATAAGGCGAATGTTATGTTAATATGGTACAATTATATATGATAAATATATATAACCATATGTGATTAAATACAAGAGACCAAGTATTATATCAAAAAATAAAAATAATCATGTCAACGTAAATAATATATGATTAAATACATGTAATCACACCTGATTAAATACAAAACTATTGTACCGATAACGCA